CAAGCAGTCACCTCTCTCCAGCCCATCCAAAACACAGTGAGGGCTCTTCTCAGCAGCTTTTTGTACATTTGGCCCTTGTGCTTCCAGCCTTGGTTCCTTCCACTCCCACTTTCTGCAGAAAAGTGGGACAGACCTTGTGTAAGTGTCTGAAGACACTTCTCGTGTGGCCACAGAGTACTGAAGGGTGGGCAGGTGAGCAGCCCTGGCTTCGACCAGAGCTGTTTGGAAGCACTACTGCAGTGTGTCCACCCTGCATTTCCACTACAGGACCAGTCAGAGTGATCCTTTCACTTCCCAGGGATCTCAGGGATGTCACATTAACATCCTCTGGTCCCTCTTTGGGGCTGTGGTTGGAGTGCTGGGGAGTGGATTCTGCCCTGGTACTGAAGCCAGACAAGGGCTGGGGAGCTGCTGTGGTCTCCTTGGCTGCTGTGAAGGACACGTCCCCAACTGGTCTTGTCTGATTCCTCTCAGAGGGGTGTTTGGTTAATCACACAATCTTAGACTGGATTGGATTGGGAAGGACCTTAAAGGCTCATCCCATTCCAGCTCCTGGCATGGGCAGGGACACATTCCACTATTCCCAGGCTGTTCCAAGCCCCCTCCAGCCTGGCCTTGGGACACTTCCAGGGATCCAGAGGCAGCCACAGCTTCTCTGGGCAACCTGTGCCAGGGCCTCACCATCCTCATTCCTTCCCAATACCCCATCTAAGTCTGCCTGCTGGCAGTGGGAATCCATTCCCTGTGTCCTGTCCCTCCATCCCTTGTCTCAAGTCCCCCTCCAGCTCTCCTGGAGCCCCTTTAGGCCCTGGAAGGGGTTCTCAGGTCTCCCTGGATCCCTCTCGTCTCCAGGTGAGCACCTCCAGTCTCCCAGCCTGGCTCCGGAGCAGAGGGGCTCCAGCCCACCCGCAGCACCCGTGCCCCAGCGAAGCATCGCCCCGTGGCTCTGTGCTCTCCCGTCCCGTCCAACGCTGGCGTCGCGGCCCGGGGCTGCCCGGCCGGCGCGGGGGGCTCCCGCTGTTGCCATGACGACGCCCCCCTTTCCCGCATCCCCCCGAAAAGCTGCGGCGGGGCTGAGCGCGGCCCTGCGGATGCGGCCCCGCGCGTTTCCACGGCGACGCCGCGGCTGAGCCGCCCCCTCCCCGCGCACACTCGGACCGGCCCCGCGCCCCTCCCGCTCCGCGCCCCCCGCACCCCGGGCCGGGCCGGGCCGGGCCGGGCAGCGCCGCCGGGCTGGCAGCAGCGCCCGCCCGGGTGCAGGTAAGCAGCGCGGCCGGGCGCCGCCGGCCCGGGCTCGCCGCAGCCCGGAGCCCGCACGGGCGAGGCCCCGGTGGGGCGGCGGGGCCGAGCCCGGCGCTGAGGGGGGAAGCGCGACATGCCCGTGCCGGAGCGGCGCGGAGGGAGCGGGGGGCCGGGGCCGGCCCGGGGCGCGGGGCCGGCGCGGCGGGAGCGGCTCGCTGGCCGCGGCCGGGCCGCCGCTCCCCGCCGAGCACCGCGGCGCTGAGGCCCGGCCCGGGCTGCTCCCGCCGGCCGCGAGCTGCGAGGCGCTGCCCGGCCCTGCCCCAGGCACCGCGCTGCCCCGCCAGCCTCGCACCGGGGACGCCCGGCCGTGTTTCTCCGGGTGTTTCTCAGGCACCGGGGAGCGGGTGCTGTCCCGGAGCCTGCAGTGACGGCACTGCAGCCCTGCATGGGGCCCTCGGCGTGGAGGGCTTTGCTCAGCCTAGCAGTGCACAAACAGCCCCGGCTGTGGATAGGGTGCTCCACATGGTCCAGGAATGGTCCTGGACTGATGTTACTAGTTTTTACCTGGATTTCTTTACTAGTTGTAAAAGAAAATAAAACACTGGACAGTTAGAAACATTATGAGGTCAGCTATCCATCCTGTTTAGATGTTTCCATCTGCTTATAAGCGTGGAAAAAGATCGAACTGTGGAGGTCTGGGTGGTGAGCGGGGCTGGTACTCTCAGGGGCAGTGGGAGGTGGGTGTGGCGGTCCCTGTTGTCCTCCTCAGAAGTGCCCGGGCTTCAGGCTGCCTGCTGGCCTTGGCGTTCAGCTTGGATGGTGTCACCTCGACCCCTTTGGGGTGGCACATGGGATGGCTGGCAACTGCCCATCCTCCCCACCTGTGGATCTGAGCAGATCTACAGGCCTGAAAGCTGCTCCTGGTGACAGTGAAACTCCTGGGGACAGCAGGTGACACCCACCTGAGTGTCTCTGCTTTGTCATCCGTGTCTGAACCTAAAGCTGAAGGTGGCTTGCTGCTTTATTGCCCTTCTCTCTCTCATCTCCATTTCCACAGAACCTATTTTCTCTATTGAAACGTGTAACATGAACAGCCTCTTACTGCACAGAGGGACATTTCATCTGGTTTTGAGATGTTGGTAAATACCATGGCCTACTCCAAACCTCACCATGCTGCTAAAGAACCCAGCAGCAGAACTTTGTGGCCCCTGGTTTGTTCCAGAGAAGGCATTTGCTCCTGGCTTTGGAGCAGCATTCAAGTTTGGAAGGGAAGAAGTGTGTGATCGTCTTTCTCCACTGGGCCACCTGCCTGTGCCAAGGGTGTTCCTGAGTGCTCATGTGTGTTTACAAAGCAAGTATTTTCTGCCATTAGTTTCCTAAACACCTGCCCTGGGCAAGGCCAGAAGAGAGGGGAAGATCTAAGGGAGCAGCTCTCAGCCCCACAGGTCTCTGTAGTGCTCTGGTGTGCCACTTGCAGCTTTAGCATGATCCCAGTTAGTGGTCATTCTCACAGGCTCAATTTTGCCACCGGAGGTAATTAGAAATCCATATCTCTGCTGATGGCAAGGATGGGGAAGTCCTCTGTTATGGCTGAAGAAATTACTGAGAAAAATAATTTACAGAATCTGGGGCTGGGGGAGGCTGGAGGCACCTCTGCAGGTCACCTTGCCCAGCCCCTGCTCCATCAGGGCCACCCAGAGCCGGCTGCCCAGGACGCGTCCAGGTGGCTTTTGAGTCTCTCCAGGGATGGAGACTCCACCACCTCCCTGGGCACCTGCACCAGTGCTCAGCCACCCTCCCAGTGCAGAAGTGTCTCCTGAGCTCGGAGGGCCCCTCCTGTGTGTCACCTGGTGCCCAAGGCCCCTGGGGCTGTCCCTGGCTCTGTCCCCTCTGCAGCCTCCCCCCGGGTGTTTATCCCCAGGGATGAGATGCCCTGAGCCTGCTCTGCTCCAGGCTGGGCAGTGCCAGCTCTCTCAGCCTCTCCTCACGGCAGAGATGCTCCAGTCCCTCCATCATCTTCATGGCCCTGAGCTGGACTCTGTCCAGTCTGTCCCTGTCTCCTGTACTGGGCAGCCCAGCTCTGGGCCCAGCACTCCAGGGCTGGCCTCACTGGTGTGGAGCAGAGGGAAAGGATCCCCTCCCTCCACCAGCTGTGTCACAGCTGCCAGTGCAGCCCAGGACGCTGTTCTGCATTGCTGCAGGAGCGCATTGCTGGCCCGTGGGCATCCTGGTGTCCAGCAGAACTTTTCCTCCCAGCTGGGTGGCTCTCAGCATGTACCAGGTTTTAGGAATATTTAAAATTCTGAGAAGCCACTACGTGAATACTCATTAATATTGTTTGAATTAAGCCAATTTTGTGATGAACAGAAGCACCTCTCTCGAGCAGATCATGCTTTATAAACACTGTCAGGGCCGTGCAGCAGCTCCGTGCCGGGAGCTGCTCTCTCCATGCTCCTCTGTGGCCTGTTGCACACAGCATGTCCCTCCTCTTCCCAAGGAGCAGGACATTCCCTGGCTCTGCTGTGGTCTGGTGAGAGGGTGTGTGAGGGTATGTGTGAGGCTGTGGCAGAGCTGGAGGCTCGTGTGTCCAGCAGCCCTGGAGATGCTCTGCATGCCCCAGGGTCACTGCTTCAGAACATGGCTGTGCCAGCAGCCAGTGATCCCTGTTGCACAGCTAAACCTCTGCGAGCAGCAGGGCCAGTGATCCTGGATGCCTTTAAGTGTGTGTTTTGTGGCCTGTGTCCTTGGTCCTTGTGACTGTGTGCACAGGCTGGTGTCCCCAGCTCTCTCAGGCACTCAGGGTGGTCAGACTCAGGTGCCCTGTGCTGACACCCTCCCCCTGGGTGAGGGGCCATGCAGGGACCCCTTCTCAGTGCTGATGCTTTGTTTCCTGAACCTGAGGGTTTGTCTCAGACAGACCACTGTTCAGAGATACTGATCTTGCTGCTGGTTAGGATAGGCTGGTGGGGTGTGGCTACAAACAAACTCCATGTGCACAGCCCTCTTACACAGTGCACGGGATTCCAGGGGCAAAGCAGGAGGGAGCAAAGCACTCCCCAATGAGAATTGTCTTGAAAAATTCTACCCTCCAGCAGCACATTGTGGTGTTCTCTGGAGGGACCTATGTATGTGTGTGGAGTTTCTTGGGGTGGCTTTCCTCCTTGGCTGTCCCTCAGCAGAAGGTAGAAGTGAGGAGTCCTTGTGGATTGGTTGGGTAGGTGGGTGAGGAATGGGGCTCACCTGCACCCTCTGTAAGATGTGGAGTTACACCCAATATCAGGAAAAATTGAGAAGTCAGGGCCTCACTGTAAAGGCCAAAACAGCTGCAGCTCCACTGTTGGTCTTTTAAAAGCTGCACTGGGGAGGAGGGATTGAAGGCTGCTGAGCAGTCTGGTTCTGTTTTGTCTGGGTGGGCAGAGTTTTATCAGATGTCATTGGGACATGTGTAGGCCAAAAGCTTTTCAAGACAACAGCTAAAAAAAAAAACCCATAAAGATTAATAAAGCTTTTGTTCGATATCTAGGGCAATCAGCAGAACAAATCATAGAATATCCTGAGCACAAGGATCCTGGTCCACCTCCTGGCCCTGCACAGACACCCCAGCAATCCCACCCCGTGCCTGAGAGCATTGTCCAAATGCTCCTGGAGCTCTCCCGGGGAGCCTGTTCAATGCCTGACCACCCTCTGGGGTTAAAACCCTTTCCTAACATCCAAGGAGAAAGTGTGAGTTTGGTTTGCTCATTGTTGTGCTAATTTGCAGATTTGCATCCTGGTAGGCTGGATAAGGAGCAGGCTGGGTACAGCCCTGGGCAGCCTGGTGTGACCCCACCCTGCTGGGAGCAGGAGGTTGAATTACAGACCTCGGATGGTCCTGAATTACCCTGTGCTGATACGGGTGGGTCGCTCCAGGGCTTGCAGGATCCCCCTGAAGGGATGTCTGGGGCAATGGTACCTCCTACGCTCTGGCTCTAGGGGCTGAGGCCACCAGGGCTGTCTGAGCTGTGGGCATCCCCTCGATGCCTTTTTCTCCTCCCAGGGAGCAGGGTTATCCCAAGTGTCTTTCTCCTGCTATGGCAGTGGTGCTAGGGCAGGTCATAGCTGTGGCTGAGCCCCTTTTCCTCATGTAGCACTCCTGACCTGGGATACTTCACAGCAGGTTGTTTTTATTACAAAAACTAGCGAATTTACCTGATATAATTAATATATATTAGTAGTAAGTGTTTGAAGGTGTTAATATTTTTTAAACATTTATGTAATATTAACAATAGTTACTATTTATTGGTATTACTTATAGAAAACAAACAACAGAAGTTATAAGTTTATTACTAATAATTTCTAAAACTTTGAATCATTGGGGAATCAGCTGATGACTTTGTAGATAGGATTAGATTGAAGTTTTTTAAATGTTTTGTTTTTAGAGAGATTTTTGGTAATTGAATTATTACTAATACTTGTATCTTTATATGGTAGTTTCACTCGTTGGGCAACACTTTTTATAGTAAAATATTTGTATTTATGTTATATTTGGAATAGTACTGATTTGTACAGTGTCCTTCCAGGGGGTTTTATACCAGGATTTAAAAAACTGTGAGCCCCAAACAACACCTCCAACCTGATTCTCAGTCCTGCAGGTGGGGATGGAGCTCTGCAGCCAAGGTATTGTCATGCCCACACCTGTGGGGCCATGGTCCAGGAGCTGTGGGGGTTCTCCCAGGAATGCTGAGTTAAAAGTTTACCAGCACGTGCTGTGGTTGTTGGGAGCAGTGTTGGTGGTGAATTGTTGTCTGACATCACAGAAGCCCCAGATGAGAGGTGGGAGAGCCCTGGGAGCCACTGAGTTTCAGCTGTGGCAGGAGTGTGCTTAGGCAGCTCATGTGTGGCCTTGGAATAGTTTTGGGCTTGGAATAGAATTTGTGCTCCATGTGTGCTCAAAGGGCAGGAGTTGGGACGAGGAGTTAGGGAGGGAAAGGTTTCCACCAGCAGGACAGAAGTTGCTGCAGCCCGGGGTGCTGGGGTAAGCACTCACACTGCTGCTGAGGGACAGGTGAGGGGCACAGGAGGCACAGTTTGTGGCAGAATGATGGCATTGTTAAGGTTGTAGAGGACCTGTAAGATCACTGAGTCCAACAGTAGGGCAGGGCCCTGGGCTGAATGGGCTCCTCTGACTCTTGCAGGGCTCCCAACCCTCTGAGCTGGGCTGCCCCAGTGCTGGGACATGCGCTTGGCTGCAGTGAGGCCTTTCCCAGGAGGCTGTTGAAGGAGGGCTTGGCTGGAGGTTAAGACCTAAATCTCAGTTGTTTAGCTTTTCCAGTTTAAAGAGCAGCACCACAATATGTAATCCAAATGAATTCTGTTCACCCTGAGCTCACAGTGTCCACAGCATCAGCCTAGTCCTGTAAGGCTTTGGAGAGCGGACCACAATTGCAGAATATCTCGAGCTGGAAGGACACCGAAGGACCATCAAATCCAACTCCCTGCCCCTGGCACCCAAAATTAAACTATAGTGTTGACTACTGCTTTGCATTTCCTGAGCAAATATTTGCTTTTGTGTTCACATCAGAGACTGTGAGAAGCTCAGGTGAAGCATCATGAACCTGAGCACTGGATCTACTTGTTTCTCTTCCTTTCTAGGCATTTCCAGTCCCAAATTCTGTTTGAATTTTTAAAAAAGGCAACAGTTCCCACAAAATGAAGAGCTGTCCTTGAAATATTTGACCCAATGATGAATCAAGAATGGACTGGATTTAAATGCCAAAAAAAAGCAGATAGATTCCTACTGGCTATTAGGAAGCACTGAAACAGGTTGGCTGCTAAATTAATTTCGTCTTTCACTTGGGAGTGTGGTGTCTAGATTAGTTTCTCAGTTCCTTCAATTGTCCTGACACTTAAGAGTGTTTTTCTGCACCTGGAGAGCCTGAAAGGTCTGTGCTGTTTGCCAGTTGACCATCAGGTGTTTCTAGTCACAAACCTGACAGAACTGGGAGAAGTAGATCTTCCCCTTAATGTGATCACACCATCCCACTCTGTACCCTCTGATTGTAACACCTTTATCTGAGTGTCTCAAATTTTAAAATTCCAGACTATCCTTTGTAGCCCAATTCTTAGCTAACCCTCCTTCACCAAAATGATTATCCCGTTTTCCCCTTTCAAATTCAAATTGGATCAGGAGGGGCCAAGACATGACTGTGGTCCTCTCTAGCCCTGCCTCTGTCCCGGCAGCAGGTGCTTTGGAGAGGATGCTGCTGCAACGTGGAGCCCCTGGGCCCATGGGTGGGGGGCTCGTCACAGCCAGAGACAGCCAGTCGTGCCCTCGAGGCCCTGACACTTTGCTTCCTCCTTGAGATTCATGGCTAGACAGGTTGAGCATCACCAGTCCCCTGAGAAACTCAGGGGGGTACAGGGACATGAGGTCCCCCCCACTCACACCCCCAGTAACTGCTGTCACTTGTGAAATTCTCTTACAGCTAGTTAGAAGATCGAGGGTGACACTCCGACGGGAGAACAGGAAGGGGCCCTGCAGGGAGCTCTGCCTGCTCCAGGGTGGGATTTGGCAGCCCTCAGTCACAGTCTGTTGGAGCATTGTGGGCCCCCGTGGGAGCCAGGAGCAGCTTGTGGTGGACCTGTTGTGCTCGTGCCATCTTATGGTGGTGCCAGGTGAGAAAAAACTCTCATTGTTTGCAGGTTCTGAGCTGGGACCTCACAACTGGGGCTTTCATGGGGCATGACCTTCATGTGGGTTCGGTGGACCTTTAATACATCTTGCAGGGATTTCTGCTGGAAGAGACCATCCTGTGCAGTCACATTCTTGCTCCTTTGTTGTGTTTATACTGGTACCCAGCTTGATTTGTTCCCCACTGCCCTGCAGGGCCTCGCTGTGTGCCCAGGCAAGGCGATGGACAGCAGGGGGGAGATGGAGGTGGTGAGGAGCACCAAGGGCAGTGCTGCTGGGGAGGTCAGTGTCCATGTGGTCACCACCGAGAGCACTGTGCAGAGCACCCACCTGCCCACCACTGCCTTCATCATACCAGGTATGTGGAGCAGCCCCCTGCAACTGCTGCCTCCCCAGCCTGGATAGCCCACACTCGCTGGGGAGCTGTGCTCCTCCCAAGCTTTGGGAGGCAAAGCCAAGCTGCTGTTGCCATTTTGGATGTTCTCTGTGGCTATCCCACATCACTTGGACTGTTTGTGGTCAATCAAATCTTCCTGAGCTTTAAACTGAAGTGCTGGTGTGAGGGGCCCTGAACCAGGGCAGCACAGTGTGCTGGTGCCTGCTCTGCAGGGCTGTGAGCTCCTGGACTGCTGCATTAGCATTGAATCCCAGGACAGCTCAAGCTGCAGGGGATCCATAAGGATCATTGAGTCCAAAACTCTGATCCTGCCAGGAGCACCTAAAATGAAACCAACAGGACCAAGTGTTGTCCACACACTTCCTGAACTTGGTGCTTCCCTGGGGAGCCTCTCCCAGGCACTGAGCAGCCCCTGGGTGAGGAGCCTTTTCCTAATGTCCCACCCGAACCTCCCCTGAGGCAGCTTCGTTCCATCTCCTCGGGTCCATTGCTGGTCCCACAAGGGAGAGATTAGCACCTGCCCCCGGGAGGAAGGTGCAGACAGCAATGGGATCAGCCCTCAGCTTCTCTTCTCCCAGCTGAAAGGGCCAGGTGGCCTCAGCTGCTCCTCCCAAGTCCTGCCCTGGGGACCTTTCACCATCCTGGTCCCCTCCTCTGGACACAACTCCAGCCCTCAGCTGTCCTTTGTGTGCTGAGGGGCCCAAACTATTCCCAGGGCTGGAGGTGAAGCTGCCCCAGAGCAGAGCAGAGCAGGACAGTCACCCCCTGACATCCCCCCAGGGCAGGGCTGGCCCCTGGGGCTGCCAGGGCTCTGCTGGCTCCTGTTCCACTTGCCCTCAGCCCAAAGCCCCTGAGTCCCTTCTCCACAGTAGCTCCCCAGCCTTGGTCCCCAAGTCATACAACTTTTCAGGATTATCCCATCCTAGGTGCAGAATCCAGGTCTTACTCTTGTTTCATGCATATGGTGATTGTATTGCCCAGCTCTCTGGTCTGTCCAGATCTCTGTGTAAGGCCTCTTTATCCTAAAGGGTGTCCACAGCTCCTCATAATAAAGTGTAATTGATAAACTTACTTAATGGACATTCAGTTCCTCCATCCAGATTATTTATAAAAAATTTAGGAGCGCTGTGGGGAACCCCACTGGTGATGGCCACCAGCCTGATGTGCCCCCAGTTCCTGTAAGGCTTTGAACCCAACTGCAGGAGAGCCATCACCCACTTGTTCACCCGATGGACAATGGACTGGATGAGCTCTGTACTGGACTTTTTATCCAGAAGGGTACTTTGACAGGCAGTATCAAGGCTTTGCTAAAATCCAAAACCTCACATCTATTGGCTTTGTTTGGTCAGCTTAGTGGGGTGACCTTTCCATAAAGGGAGATTCAGCTGGTTAACCAGGACTTCCCCTTGTGAACTTATGTTGGCTGTGACCAACGACTTCGTTATCTCTCCAGTGTTTTTCAGTAACTCCCAGAATAACTTTCTCCATAATTTTACCAAGCACTGTAGTGAGACTGACAGACCTGTAATTATCAGGGTTGTCCTTCCTACCCTTCTTGAAAATTGGGACAATTTTGAGTGCAGCTGACCGGTGTCTTTTAGGAGGTGTTTGAGCAAAGCATGGTTGTGTGTAGGGTGAGATGAGGAGTGTTCTCATCACAGAATAGTTCTCATCATAGAAGCAGACCTCCCAGTTTTTCCCGGTGCCTCAGTTCTCACTGCACAGAGGCCCTGGGTTGCACAGTGTGTTCCCTTGAAACGTAATTAAACTGGAAATTGCAGCCCAGGAGCAAACTCCTGTCACATCAGGGCACCCTAGGCACAGAAACAGTCTGAGATCAGGCTGAAGTAGAAACCCTTGAATGTGGATAGTAGTGTTGCCACCCCCCAGCACGAGCTATTACTGGCTGCAGATATTTTTGCATCACTCTGCTTCCTTTGTGCTTTGGCCCACAGCAGAGCCCTCACCTGGGAGACCATGTCCTGTGGGATCCTGGGCTGCCTTTGAGCCTTCTTTTCATCAGTGAAGTGTTCTGTGTATGCCTCTGGTTGTTTGTCTCCTTTCTTTCCTTCTCAAGCCAACGCCACTGCCATCAACCTTCCCACGAGCACCTTAGAAATCCAGCGATTCCCCCGGGAGCCCCAGAGAAGCACAGGGGCCGAGAGGCCAGACAGGGGAGCAGGGAATGAGCCCATCACAGCTGCTGTCATTCCCCAGATCAGTGGGGTGCAGACCTGCAGCACAGTCCGTGTGCTGGAGTGGAAAGATGGGGTGGCAACTTTGCCTGGGAGTAACCTGCGGGTAAGTGTAGCCCTGGGCCACTGGGTTTGACCCCTTTGCCTCTCCCCACAGATGCTTGTGCTTGTAAATCCCTCAGCCTGTGCCAGGTAAGGAGCACCAGGATGTGCCATGAGCCTCCTGCACCCCAGCTGGAAGATCCCTCAGCTGCCCCAGCTCTTCTTCTGCCCCTGCCATCCTGGGAGCTTAGCACAGAGCTCACCGAGGTGCCTGAGGGGCTGCAGCAGCTCTGCCCTGCACAAGGAGGCACAGGGGTGCTACGTGCTGTGCAGGACATCTTCCCTTCCAAACTGTGCTGGAAGGACTTGGCTCTGCCCTAGCTCCTGCCCTCACCCTGGGAGCAGCAGCCTTGTCCTCATCTGGCAGCAGGTGCCTCAGTGCATGACAGCTTGTAGGAAATGCACCCATTTCTTAGCTGCTGCTCAGCCTCAGGACACCTCATCCTCCAGCCACCCACCTGCCAGCTCCAGCTGAGAGCCCAGCACAGGCTGCAGGCAGGGCACCTTCACAGGCCTGGGGTGCTGTGCTCACCCCTGCGCTCGAAGAGTTGTCCTCTTGTCAGACACACTGATGAACATCCCTGTCCCTCATTTTCAGACTAGCCACCCCGTTACACGTCTGTCCTGCTGAACTTTTCCCTTGCTTTCTGTTCAATGACAGTTCCGGATAAATGAGTACGGCACGCTGAAGGTGGTGAGTGCTGATAAGATGCCTCCTGTGGAAGCTGTTAAGGAGGGTCACACAGAGAAAGATGGGGACTCTGAGGTGGCACCCCCCAGCAGAGACAATCCTACTGTGGCTCAGGGTAAGGGCACCATGGTGGAATTGTGTGGTGGGTACCAGCATCCAGCAGATGCTGCCTGCTGTCTCCGTGGGTGAGGCAAATGTCTCCTGTGTCTGCTGTCCTTCTGTGTGCCTCACTGTTGCTCCTCTTGTCGCAGACGTGCCGGAGCAGCCCGCGGCAGAAGGTCTGTGCCACTGCGATACCTGCGGCCGCAGACACGTGTGGGACGGGGCCCGGGAGGGCAGGGGCTTCTGCAGCGAGCACTGCCACCAGCAGTTCAAAGAAAGGTAAAGGAAGGGGGGTCTGTGCCCTGCAGAGCCAGATCCATCCCTCTGCCCTCCCTCCCTGCCCTGCTCCATATGCTCCAGCGAGGGATGGGAACGCCTCTGCCTCCGGCAGGTGCTGGGCGTCCCTCGCGTTCCACCTGTTGCTGAAGGCAGGCTGGGGAGGGAAAACTTCCCAAGGGGGCAGCACGAAGCATGGGAGCTAGATTTTCTCCTGCCCAATTTGTGGCCTCGTAAACACATATCTGCTGGAGCAGGAAGTTGCTGCAGTGGGGGCTTCCAGGCTGAGCAGCAGTGGAAGGCCACAGGTCATGGGGGCATTTCCAGTCCTATTCCTGACCACTGTGTGACTCTCAGGACTTGTTTTCCAGCATCTCCAGTGCAGCTTAGAGCCCTGCTACTAAACTAGATCCCTTTTGATTTATCCCTGCGTTCAGGTTTCTAGCACCCAAGTGTGTCAGGGTGACTCTGGCCTATCCCTGTCTATAACTCTTGACAACTTACGTGTGTACATCCCCCCACAGGAGGGGTGGGGGCACGTGTGAGTAAGAAATGGGGGGACAGTGACTGTCCAGCAGCCCCTCCCTTAATGAGACCCCAGGCAGTGTCACTGTGCTGCACTGGCTGCAGTGCTTGGCCCTCCCTCCCTCTATGCAGGTCTGTCATTGTGGAAAACTCTGCCAGCAGCACCAATGTCACTGAAATCCTCAAGCCTGTGAAGAAACGAAAGAGGAAGGACTATCAGAGCCCCTCGGAGGAAGAATATGAATCTGAGCAAATGGTAGGACAAAAATAGGGAGGGGGTGGGTGCAGCCAGTGTCCTGGGGACTGGAGGCCAGCCCTGTGTTCACAGATCTCATCGTGCTGCTCAGGGCTCTGTCAGCTGCAGGCCAAAAGGTTGGCCAAAATGCCAAGAAGACTTGAATGTGTGGAGATGAGGGCTTCTAGCACTAGACTGTTTGTTTGGCATGTGGAGCACTGAGGCCTGGGCAGTGCCAGACTGTCCAGGCTGGCTGTAGGTACTGACCACTCTCAGCTACTCTCTTGTGTCTGGGCCACCAGAGATAGGGTTGAAGTAGGGGAGTGTCTGAGTGTGCTAGGTGTCCTGGGGAAGGGAGAGACTTTGACAAGGTAAGGAAGCTCTGCTTGCCAGCCCTGACTGTCTGTAGCAGGTCCAGTCCAGGTGAGATTGCTACCAGTCCCTGCAAGCTCCCATCACCAAATTCTCTGGCAGTCCATTTCTGGGCCAGGCATTGGTGACACTGGGGACCTTGTGGGGGTGCACTATGGTCCTGGGCACCAGTGTGAGGATACAACACATAGCAAAAAACCTGTGGGTTCTGTTCTGTCTGCTCTCATGTTTAGGAGGAAAAGCAGGAAGAGAAGAAAAGCTCTGTGGAAGACTCTGCCACGAGCAATCTGGAGGCTGAGGCGTGGAACGGGAGCCAGCACGGTACGGAGGGCAGGGTGGGCTGTGGGACAAGCACTGCTGCTGGGGCCGGGGGGTCCTCCTGCAGGGTTGGACCCTTTTGGTGCTCCTGCAGGGTTAAACACCCACTGCAATGTGCTGGCATGTGGTCCTGAAGGCGTGTGAGCTCCTCTGCTTGCTTGATCCTGCTCTCTCTGTCTCTTTCCGTTTCTCTCCTTTCCTCTCTCTCTCTCCGTGGGAAGGGGGCACCGTGCTGGACAGAGCTTCCTGTCCCTCCCCTCGGGAGCTCAGTTTGCTACTGGCTCATGGGCACTGTGTTTGCTCCCAGGAACACTGTCCTGAGCACAAACAGGACTGCACCACGTGTGGCTTTACCCTTCTTTGGGATGGGCTCATGGGGAACTTCCCTCGTGGCATCAGGAGCTCACAAGTTTGGGAGCTGCTTGTGTAGGTGCAGTGCCACTGAAGCCCTGTGATTTGGGGTTGTCTCATTCTGTGGGGATCTATTCTGTGACTGTATCAGAGATCTCAAAAGCAGAGCTGTCGACATGGAAGGAAAGGAGACAAGCTGAGGGATGCAATGTTTTCTTGGTTGGTTTTTTCCCTGCAGTGTCAAGCAAAACTTTGGGAAACACTGACAATAAACATTTATGGGAAACCTTTTGTCTTTGAGTACTGAAAGTCATACTCAAAATAATTTTAAAACTAAACTGTTCCAACTTCATACTCCTCTGCATAACCAAGTGCAGGGACAGTGGCAGGGCCCAGGTGTCATTAACACCTGGTGTTACAGTGAGATCATTAAAAAGGAATCTCAGATCTCATACCTGCTTCTCACTCGGAGCCATGAGCATGTAACCTTCCCTGCTGCATACAAGTAAGCAGTGGTGGGCTTTGTTACTTCAGCGTTTTATTTTCTCTTATTTTAGAAGTACTTCAGCAAACAAAATACACACCTGGCTGCCTCAGTGCAGCAGTCAGTGTATGCTCTGACTCTTGGTGTATTTGCCATTTCCCAGAAGTACATAGCTTATACTCACAGATTCCCCAGCTATGCCTGGCACTTTTTCTGTGTCCTAAGGAATAGTAAAAGTGTTTTTTCAATCTAAAGATGTCAGCAAAGCAAGGTTAGTTACCTTGTTCACTGAAGTTCACCTTTAAATTCTTCCCTAAGTTTCTGGTTTTTTTCATCTCCTCTTCCCCTAAGCCCAAAGGAGGAAGGAGTAGATATGTTTTCCCCCTGCATTTCTAGCCTGCCCTTCCTGAGGCTGTCTGCCATAGCTGATCTGAAGCTGGAAATTCCTCAGCTCTGGAATAGGCACAGCACCCCTGGAGTCCTTCAGCTCCTGCAAATTAGGGAGACAGAGAAGCTGGAGAGCAAAAGACTTGGGTTGTGTCTCATAGGTCTTGGTCAAGGCCGTTGTGTCCTTCTCAAAGGCATGGAGGCTCACCTCCCTGCCTATGAAGAGACAGTGCTGTCTTCTTTGTCGTGGGCAAATACGTCTCTAGGGCATCAGAGTGGCCTTGCTGTGCCACGGGGGCACAGGTGTCTGTCTCAGAGCAGAGGATGGCAGAGCTGGGATGGGAACCTGCTGCTGGTTTGACTGTCTAGGAGGCCCTTGGAGCTGGGAATGATTCCCAGACCTGTGCATGGATCCTGGCTTCCACAGATCCATCCTCTGTGGCCACAGCAGGTGTTCTGGCTGGAAGAGGGTCTGGTCAGGTCTGGTGTCCTGATGGCTCATCCCTCACGCTCCCTGTAATCCCAGACTCGTTGGAAAGGACCTTAAAGGCCACCTTGGTTCCACCCCCTGTCATGGGCAGGGACACTTTCCACTAGCCCAGGTGCCTTACTAGGACATGGTTCAGGATATTTGGGTGATGGGGGCTCCTGGCTCTGCCCCTCGTCATGCAGCTGGCCAGGTTTGCTGGAGAAAGGGCTCTGGCAGGATGGTGCTGAGCTTTGCAGGGATGCAGGACCCTGTGTGAGAGTGGGACAGGGCTGGAGCGGCCCCTCAGCAGCGTTTGTGTGCGTTTGTGCTGCGCTCAGGTGCCAGTGAGGAGAAGAAAGAAGGCTGGTCTTGGGCGTCCTACTTGGAGGAGCAGAAAGCTGTCGCTGCCCCTTTAGATCTCTTCCAGGATGTGAGTTGGGATTTTCCTGTCTTTTTCCCTCTTTCATCTTCTCTTTTCTTTCCCTTTTTTTTCCCACCCCTCCTCCTTCTCCTCTCTTCCTTGCTTCCCTGTTTTGTGGGACTCTGAGCAATAGCCAAGCTCCCATTGTCACCTGGAAGTGTCTGGGCAGCCTCCAGTTCAGATTTGCCCAGAGTCCCACTCCCCAGCAGGTGCTGGCCCCATCCCAAACACCCCACCTTTGTCTAGGACACTGTTGTGACTCTGGCAGGGTGGTGGAGCCTTTCCAGCACTTCCTGGAAGCCAGGTGGGCTCCCCTGAGGCTGTGCTGCAAACAAGTCAGGCCTGTGTCCTGCTCCCCTGGCTGCAGCTTTTACCCCAGGGACACCTTGCCCTGCTAATAGCAAGAGATGTAAATCCATAAGGAGGTGTAACACTATTTTTTTTTTCTATGGGAAAAAATTAAAATTTGTATGACAACCTAACCTGTGGCCCACAGTCTCTTGGTCCCAGCAGCTCCCATTGCCTGGTAGTTGCTCCCCTGGTGGGTTCTAGACCCAACTCCCTGTGTTGGTTTTACATTGTAGTTTAATCTTTGTTTCCAGTACCAAGTAGCTTCCCAGCACAAGAATGGCTTTAAAGTGGGGATGAAGCTGGAGGGGATCGACCCGCAGCACCCATCTATGTACTTCATCCTGACAGTGGCTGAGGTGAGGAGCCTCCAGTGCTTGTGTTCCTTGGTTCCTCCTGGCTCCCACTCAGCCAGAGGCTCTGGGGCAGGGGAGGTGCTGCCAGATGGCCCCTGGAGGAGACAGGGCCTGATGCTGCAGGAGATGAGCTGCTGCTCCAGCACCTCAGGCACACAAGCTGGGAGGTCCCTGCCAGCTTGGAGGAACAAGACACAGCACTGTGGACCTGTGATGGTCTCTGTCACCCTGACACAGGACAGGGAGAGGGATTGTGGTGATGGCAACAGCATATGTCCCTAAGACAGGTCTGAGCCCTTGAGGTGGAGGATGTGGAGGCATCCCGCTGCTCTTCTTTGTGTCCGTGCAGATCCACTTTCCACTCAGCCACGTGGCAGCTGGACCAGCCTTGCCTTGCAGAGCTCCCCAGGCAGCCAGTGTGGCATTTAGCCAAAACCTTTGCATCAGCAGCTTCCTAGCCTGCAGAAAAAGGAGTCTGTACACTTGCTGGATCCAGCAAGGTGCTCCACCATGGCATTTAATGCACCCTGAATATCCCTTCTACAGGCTGGCTTGTGGTGGCTTTGCTCTGACCTTGTTCCATGCTGGACACCGTTGGGGACTGGTTTGTGCCTCCCAGTTTGGGCACTGGCCTGTGATTGACTTTTGGCTTCCCAAAGTGACCCATGCTGAGCGGATGTGTGGGAGGGGGTGTGATGCTCAGCCAGGGACAGCAGCAGGTCTCCATGGCTCTTTCCCCCTCCTCCTCCCTGCTGGCAGGTGTGTGGCTACCGGATGCGTCTCCACTTCGATGGCTACTCCGAGTGCCATGACTTCTGGCTGAATGCTGACTCCCCTGACATCCACCCTGCTGGCTGGTTCGAGGAGACGGGGCACAAGCTCCAGCCCCCCAAAGGTAAGGAGTTAATTCAGCCCCGGTGTTGGGTCCTGCTGAAGGAGGGGGATGAAGACTGGGCCAAATGTAGAGCTCGAGGTGAGGACAGGCTGGCTCCATGGGGCTGGCTCCACGTTGCTGTACTGGTGGAGTTCCACAGGACAACATTTCAGGCACCCATCTCTGCTTGCTCACCTTTTTGCAGCAAAGCCCTGATGCTCTGGACCTCCCACTGCCACCAGCTGTGCCCCAGGGCAGGCCGGACTGGAGGAGGAGCTGTGTCCTTCCACTCCCCTGCTCATGTTTCCTAACACCCCTCCAAAACCACCCATCAGCCCTCAGCCATGGGCTCTGGGCATCCCAGGGCTGCTGCAGATCCTGCTGCAGCAGGATATGCTGGCAGGGTGACAATTGTTCAGGGATGGCCAAGCTTGCCCTCACATCCTCCTGGCTGTGAACTTACTGCTCTCATTTCTCTTCCTGAGGGGTTGTAGGTTATAAAGAAGAAGAATTCAGCTGGACAAACTACCTGAAGTTAACAAAGGCTCAGGCAGCTCCTAAGCACCTCTTCATGGTCCGAAACACTGTGAGTAGCAGCATCTCCTTCCTGCCAGAGCCTACAGGTTCCGGTGGGATTCTTCCCCTCCAGCTGAGCAAAATGCTTCCACCAGCACTGGGCTTTGCTTTGTCCATCCCACACCCCTCAAGCCCACAGTGCTCAAGAGCCAGGAGCATGTGTCCCACCGTTGCTCAGGATCTGTAGCAGTGTGTGTGATGCAGTGTTTTGCACAGAATCTGTATCCAGGAGAAATAAAGGCAAGGAAGGGAGAAGGGCCCCATCCCAGCTCCTCCTGCCATGCCTGAGGCATTGGTTGCTGCTGACTGACCACAGACAAGTGTTTTGGGACAAAGCAGAACTAGTGTCAGTTGGAGTTTTTGTTTTTTTTTTTTTTTTCTTGGAATTTACTAGTTATAGAAGATCCTGAGGGTCTGAAGATCACTTTTCCTCTTTGTTTGTGTGGCCCAGCTGAGTTATTTACCCACTTCCTCTTTCCTTGACTGCAGCACGCTGCCCATCTGGGAGCCTCAGTGGTCCCAGGCCTGTCTGGAGGGCAGATGGGGTATGGCTTTGGGAGGGTTTGGGCAGGTGCCTTCTTGCAACAGGCATAGGCAATGGTGAGGAAGGAGCTGGGGCTGCAGCTCTGAAAAAGCCCTGCCCCTCTCTCCTGCCAGCACGAGGCTTCTCCAGGCTTCAAGGTGGGCATGAAGCTGGAAGCTGTGGACCGCATGAACCCTTCCCTGATCTGTGTTGCCACAGTGACTGACGTGGTGGACAATCGCTTCCTGGTGCACTTTGACAACTGGGATGATACTTATGACTACTGGTAAGTGCACTGAGGCTCTTGGGAGCCAGTGGTGGGGAGACATCCACAGAGGGCCCTGTGTAAGAGCTTGGGTATATTTTCTAGGTGTGATCCCAGCAGTCCATACATCCACCCAGTTGGATGGTGTCATGAGCACGGCAAACCCCTCACACCTCCTCAAGGTGAGTCAGTGATCAGTCAGGTGCAGCCTGGGAATGCATCCCCTTGGGAACATGCTTTTCAGGGTGGCATGGGGGTCCCAGGGACACAAACCTCCTGCCAAGGCTCCTTTACACATGTTCAGGTGCAGCATGGTGCTTGTGTTAGGCCAAGTCTCCACTCAGATACGAGGAGGACCCCCAGCTGTCTGTGCACACTCAGCTGTTTCTGTTTCTTGTACTGTGGGTTGCATGGTCCATGAGAAAATAGCAACACTTCTTGGTGTCTCTCAGGTTCCCCTGTGCCCAGCAGATGTGGTTGGCCCTCGAAGGCAGTCGGGCATTCTGTGGCACTTTCTGAGTTCCTGCAGGCATGTCTCACCTTCTGCATCTTCCCCCTTCCAGATTATCCTGATCCTGACAACTTCACCTGGGAAAAGTACTTGAAAGAAACTGGAGCATCTGCTGTCCCAGCTTGGGCCTTTAAAGTGGTGAGTGTCACATCATCTGCTCCACCCCACCTGGGCAGGAGTTTGAGTTTTCTTCATTGTCAGGTCTTTGCTTTTGTGACAACTCTAGTGATGTTCTGTATTCTCCCGCCAGAGGCCTAGGCTTTGGATCTACACTCAGAGTTCAGGGGTATCCTGGGCAAATAGTTCAAAATTGGGAAAAATGAGGAGTAGGACTGTGCCCTCAGCTAAACGGGCTGAGTGATGGGAAAAATTTTAGGTTTGCTTGATTAGCTTTCGTGCCAAACTGCACCACCAGCAGCCGTGTCCAGCCAAGCGTGGTTACAGTATAAATCCCCAAAATGTGTCTCTTAGAGACCTTCTTCCCTGGGGCACATCTTGTTAAAGACAGCTCAAATGCAGGGAGTCTGTTTCTGCTTTCTCCTGTTGGCACTGTGAGCTGGGATGGCTCTTCCTGGCCAGGCCAGGCTGGGAGCTGGGCTCGAGTGGGACACAGTGCTGGGAAAGCTGCTGAGGGGGCAGGAGCCTGAAGCTCCCTGCTCCCCCTGACTGGGCTCTTCCAGCGCCCCCCCCACGGCTTCCTGGTCAACATGAAGCTGGAAGCAGTGGACAGGAGGACTCCTTCTTTCATCCGAGTGGCCAGTGTGGAGGACGTGGAAGATCACAGGATAAAGGTGCGTGCTGGAGCATTGGTACTGAGCCTGTGTCCAGGCACTGGGCTGGCTCACTTCTGCCCTTCCCAGCTCCCTGGGACTGTGCAAATGTGGGCAGGTCCCAGTGCCTGGCTCCAGGAGTGGAGAGCCTTGTGCTGCACTTCAGCTCTACCCTGCTGCTTGCTCTCAACTAGGAAGACTCCAGAGCTCCTCTGGAGAGAGGTGTCTTGGCATTTGAAGGGTGACCCCTCTACTTGCTTCCCCAGGTCCATTTTGACGGCTGGAGCCATGTGTATGATTTCTGGATTGATGCGGATCATCCGGACATCCATCCCATGGGCTGGTGCTCAAAAACAGGACACCCATTGCAGCCTCCTCTCAGTAAGTGCTGCACCTGTGTCAGCTCCTCTCTACAGGGCACAAGCACACCAGACACCTCTGTCACTGCCACCTGCCCGTGCACAGAAACAGGAGGGCAGGTTCTGGCTGAGAATGGGCAGGGAGGAGAGGCCACTCCATGGATTTGTCCACTGGAAAAGCCCTCCCTGTTTGGTGCAGTCAGGGAGCCCAGAGCCCTGGCTCTGCCTGGGCTTGCAGCTGTGACAGCCTTTCTCCTGTTCCTCTCCTCTGGCTGCAGGGCCAAAGGAACCAGCCTCCTCTGCCCATGGGGGCTGCCCAAGCCTTGGCTGCAAGAGCATCCCTCACTCCAAGAGCTCCAAGTACAGCTTTCACCACAGGTGAGCTTCCTGGCACAGCCTGGAGGGGCACAGCCTCTTCCCTGCCAGGCTGGGCCAGCTCTTCCTCTGCTGTTCCTCACCTGCCACCCCCACCAGCATCCAGCCTTTCCCTGCACTCACCCCATACCTGGCTCTGCCCCCTGCTCCCCTGGGCAAGGCCCCGGGGCAGCAGCAGGACCCCAGTTGGAGTAACCCCTGTGAGCCCCTCCTGGGCCTGTCCTGTGTCCCCAGAACCCCTGAAGGTGTCCTGTGTGCCCACCTACCACAGGCACCCGTGGGCTATGGAGAGGATAGTGCAGATGCTGTTCGCTGACACCAGCTGTGAGAACGCTGTTCCCCCACCCCTCCTGGATGCCTTTCCCTGTCAGGCTTTGAGCTGGGAAGTCCCAAGAAGGAGCAGTGTATGGTTCCAGCTCAGTGTATGGTTCCAGCTCCCTCACTTGAGGGCCCTTTTCCAAGGGAAGCCAGGCTGGGTCTAGTGCCAAGCCCAGCACTAGGCTGGGGTCAGGAAGAGCCAGTATGGTGGAGTATCTGTGAGCATGGGGAGGGCAGGTGTGCCTCCTGGGGGTTTCTCTGCTGGCCACACTCCTGGCACATGCTTACTGCTCGCTCTGAGGCTGGTCCGGATGCCTGTGGGGGCAAGGGAGGATGGAGACTCTGGGAGCCCCGATGAGCTGCTCAATCAGCACGTGGTGCCTTACCCAGGCTTGCAGGTTTGTATCTGGAGGGACTGGCTCCTACTCCTGCCCCCAGCAGCCTGGCTGTGGGAATTTGCTCAGCACATTTTTCCTCTGCCTTCCATGGCCAGGGCAAGGGCTGCCCATGCTGGGGGGCAGAAGCATGGCCCTGCTGGCTAGTCCCCCGCTGCTGCTCCAAGCCGGGCCCAACGCTTGTGTCCCCTCTGTTCTCTAGGAAGTGCCCCACACCGGGCTGCGATGGCTCAGGCCATGTGACGGGGAGGTTCACAGCCCATTACTGCCTCTCAGGGTGCCCGCTGGCAGAGAAGAACCAGGGCAGGCTGAAGGCTGACTTGTCTGACACCGAGGCCTCGACACGCAAGAGGAGCCCAATGGGTTTCCCCCAGCGGAAGAAATCTCGGCACCACGGGAGGTAAGGTGGGGCACGGGCAGTGAGCCCCGGGCGGGGAGGGCCCCTGTGCCACCACTGCCCGCCCTGGCAGGGCTCACCAGGCCGCAGAGGCTCCTTGGCCTCGCTCCTGCCAGCTCTGCCAGGCACCTCTCTCGCTTTTTCTTCCCACGGTTTCTGGTTTGGCTGTCAACCCTTTGGGTCAGGGCCCGAGGGGTCCCTGCTCCCTCTGCTGAGGTGTTGCTCTGGGCGCTGGGGAGGAGGGCCCTGGGGCCGGTCCCAGCCCAGCCGGACATCAGTCTTCCTGTCTCTTTAGAGGGAGACCTCCAAAGTACCGGAAGATCCAGCAGGAAGACTTCCAGAGTAAGTGCCATCCTCTGCCGTGGTGTCATTGCAGGGCGAGGCTGGAGTAGTTGGGGTTGGTGGGGGTGCTGGGGACGGGTCTTGGCTCACACAGATCCGCCCCAGGGAGGGGCTGTGGTCAGCTGCCAGAGTTGACCATGGGTAAGAGACATTCCTGCCTCGTGCCAGGGCTCACAAAGCTCCCTCTGTTCAGCTCTGGGGTTATGCCTGGGAGTCTTTGAGTGCTTTAGAGCATCGAATTAGGATCCTCTCTATGGCACTGTATTTTCTGTGCTGCTTTGTCCTCTTCAGGCAGGGATAGTGGGGAGTTGTGCCCCAAAATTTCAGTGTGGTTGTGAAGTGCTAAATTATTGCTGCCACACAGAAACTGATGCTGGACAGTTGGCTTGGCATTTAGTTCTGATGCCTGACAGAAGCAGATGCCTGATGTGTATTCAATCCAGCATCCCTTTCACCGTGGGCTGTCTTGCCACCTACCCCACCGCTGGGAGTGAGTGGAAAATGAATGATTAAAGGTCATGAGAACAAGGCAAAGCCAAGCTTGTCTGAACTTCTTTTCCCAGGATCCCTATTCCCATCTAAGTGAACACTTGGATACACTGACACCCTGTTGACTCAAGGGACAGCTACTAGCTCTTGATACCTGCATGGGATGTTCCCGTCCTTTACCTCGTATCACACGTTGTGCTTTATCCCCAGCTGTTTCTTCAGACAATGTGCACCAGTCGCTCTTCATGTCCGCCCTGTCCGCCCACCCCGACCGCTCCCTGTCCCTGTGCTGGGAGCAGCACTGCAAGCTGCTGCCGGGGGTGGCTGGCATCACAGCAGCCACGGTGGCCAAGTGGACCATTGATGAGGTGAGGTGCTTTGGACAGCTCCATGCTGGCCCCTGATGTGCTGGCATGGCTGGGAGACCCTGCCTGGCTGTGCAGCACCATGGCACACGCACCAGGCACTTCAGTGGTCACGTCTCTGGGCTAGCAAGGGGGGGTCTGTGGACACATGTCACCTTTGTTCACTTTCTTGGGCAGTTATGGTGACCCCTGTTAAGGCCTGAGTAGGTGGAGGAGCTCTGGCACCAGCTCCAGCAGCCTCTGCCTGCTCTCAAACACTGGCACAGGCTGCAGGGCAGTGGTGGAGTCACCATCCATGGAAGAGTTCAAAAGCTGTGTGGATGTGGCACCTGGGGACATGGCCTAGTGGTGGCCTTGGCAGTGCTGGTCAGTGGTTGGCCTCAATGATCACAGAGGACTCTGACAATCTTAACAATCCCCTGATGTCCTCGTGACCCCCTTGGGTGCCCCTCTCAGGCCAGTGCCTGTGCCTGGAGCCAGGGGTGGGCTCTGGCATGGGAGGGCAAAGCAACTGCAGCCTCTGCCCCAAGAGCCCCATGGCACCTTGCAGAGCTCAAAATATGAGGATGTGGGATTGGGGGGGTCTCCAGCCAGAAACATTGCTCTGTCTTGACATTTCTCTCATTTATTCCAAGGTTTTTAGCTTTGTGCAGACTCTGACGGGCTGTGAGGACCAAGCCAAGCTCTTCAAGGATGAGGTGAGAAGGGCTGGTGGATGAGAGCAGGGGGTCAAGGACCGCTGTGTGTCACTAGGGCTGGGAGGAATTGGCCAGTGGCCTCCCTGCAGTGGCTTGCTGCTGAATGCTGAGGGCACACCCAGCACCTGGCAGTGGTCCTGCCCTGCAGCCCCACTGCATGGGAGCGTGCAGCCATCTGGCTGTGTCCATGTGGGGCAGGAGGGAAACTGCTGAGCCTGTGCTGCCCTGTTCTCCAGCATGAGGGACCCACGGGAGGGCCTCTCTGAGGGGATGTGGATGGGGGCAGGAGGAAGATGGTGCTGCAGCCTGAAGAGCACCATCGCCTCCAGTGGGGAGCTGCTCCTCCTCACCCTTTCATCCTTCCCCCTCTGCCCCTCTCACCAGCACAGCAGTTGGGTGGCACTGCTGCCTGTCAGGGTCGGTGTTTTTGGACCCTCTGTGGGCAGATGTGGTGGGGGTGGCTCTGGCACCCTGGCACCCTCTGTAGCACCCTGTCTACAGCCACTGTCACAGCCTGTCTGGGAATAGCCCCTGTGCTTTAAGGGTGCTCAGGCAGGCAAAGCTGAACCGGGGCAGCGTCCACGAGTGCTGGTCCCTGGAGTAGGGAATGGACGGCTGCTTGCCCAGAGAAGGTTGTGGTGGCTCTGTGCTGTGCCCGTGGGGCTCCAGCACAGAATCCCAACCTGGCTGCAGTGTGGGATGGCCTCGGAAGGGCTTCTCCCCCTCTGCCCTGTTCCTGGGCACATGAGCTGCCAGCTGGGGCTTCCCTGGGGAGTGCTGTGGGTGGGCCTTGCCCTGGTCTCTGGAGTCACCTGTGGTTTCTGCCCAGGTCATGCTGGTGCTGGCTGTCCCCAGGAGTGCCAGCCCAGGTTTGCAGCAGTGCCTTTGTCCCTGCTCTCCTTCCCAGATGATCGATGGCGAGGCGTTCCTCTTGCTGACACAGGCTGACATCGTCAAGATTATGAATGTCAAGCTGGGTCCGGCACTCAAGATCTACAATGCCATCCTCATGTTCAAGAACGCTGATGACACCTTAAAGTGACTTCTCTTGGCCCAGCCAGGAGCCTCCCTCATCACTGGTGCTGCCAAACTGTCCAGTCAGGACAGAGATTCCCCCAGCCGACCGCAGCTTGTCACGTCCTGCTCGTGTCCTCCCGGGTGCCACACCTTGCCTCTCCCACCAGTCCATCTCCCACCGTGTTCCTGCACGCTGCCCTCCTGCAGTGCTGGGCCCAGGCTCGGGGGCGGTGCAGGAAGGAGGGCGGATGTGGCACTGGCCCGTCTGGGTGCCACAGCTGCCCCCACTGTGTCCTGCTGTGCCTGCACCGGGTCGGGGGTGCTGAGGGCCAGGGGAGCACTGTGGAGGGTGTCACAGCAGCGGGCTGACACCCACTCGAGTCACCCAAGCAGGGCGAGGGACTGACTGCCTGCACCCATGCTCACACCCACTTAAAGGCTGCTCTTGCCTTTGCTCTGAGCAGCTGAGAGAGATTTGGGATTTTTCTACCTGTATGATCCTCTGGGGGTACTTGTACTAACACCATTTCCAAGGGACGTTCTTGAGGAGCTTCTGCTCATTTTGCCTTTTCCTCTGAATTCTTTTGACTTTCCCTTTTAAGGCCAGTTGATGACTGCTTTGCCCCTGCACTGCACTGCAAACCAGTGGCCACCTCTTGCCCCTTCAGGTAGCAGCTCTCCTGGCAGCTGCTCTGCTCATGACCAGCACCTGTGCTTTCTTCCTCTTTCCTGAAATTCAGCAGCCCCAGGGCCCTGCCAGGCCAGGGCTGGCTGGGTGCAGAAAAGGCTCCATTTCTTCTTGTGCTTCAGACTGTTGTGTCCAGCACTTCTCTGGGAGAAAGGATGCTTGGATAGCTTGTTCCTCCTGCGCCTATTAAAGAGTCCTCTACAAAGGAAGTTGGGCCCACTTTGGTCCTTGTATTAGAAGCAAGACTCTCTCTAGGATGGAGACAGCTGCCAAGGACAAGAAGAATCCATTGCTCCAACAGGCAGATCCACAGTCACTTCTGGAGGCGTTCCTGAGTTGGCTGAGTCAATGCTGCCAAGCTGCCTTCTCCCCACTCTTTGCCCTCACAAGGCACCCAGGTTTTGCTGTCTGAAGAGCAAGATCTTTTGCTGTCCCTAGATCCCTTACCTGCAGAGCTAAAAGAAATCCAGCACTGAGCTGGTTTGTTTCTGTCCTTTTCAGAACATAGCACCTTTCCAACAGGGCTGCAGGCAGTTTGGGAATGCTCATGTAACACTGTCCCTTGTGATGGAGGAGGGACCAAAGGGCTGCAGAGCCAGAAAAGCCAACGTTCCTGGGGGTCCTGGCATAGTTCCAGCAGCTTCTGATAGGCCCCTGTGCCTCCTGGCAGTGCCCACACTGGTCTCCATGGTCCATCACCCTGGCACAGCTGCTGTGGGAGCTGTTGGAGCAGGGGTTGGCCATGCAGTGCTGCAGGATGGCCACCTGCCCAGATGGCCACCTGCCCAGGCATCCAGTCCCAGGTCCACTTCCTTTCCCATTCCCAACAATGACATTCCAGTAATAAAACAGCTTCCTCCCTTTTCCAGTGCCCAAAGACAGGGATGCAGAGGTGTGAGCAAGTGCACCAGCAATGTCTCCTGGAGCTGAGCTGCCCTGGGAGACACTGTCATATCTGGGTCAACCTGTTTGAGGCTTCCCATGGAAATGTAGCATTTTGACTCTGTTATTGAATATCTGGGGTCATGTTTGACCTGTTCTTGAAACGTCTGCTGCTTGCTCTTCCCACAGGACGTGCAACTTGTCCATGCCTTTGTTTTGTCATTGCTTGGGTTTGATTTAGGCAGCTTTCCTTCTCCTTGCCTTTTTTATGTCCTTGCATCTTTTCAAGCACTGCAGTGGGGCCAGCTGTGGAGAGGGCGAGTGGGAAGAAACAGCTGTGTCCCCGAGTCCCAGAGTCACTCCCTGAGCCACCCTTCATCTGGAGGAAGTGGTGTGGAAGTTGGTCTCTTCAGCTGATGGAGAGTCTCTTTCTGGGCAACTGTGTGCTAGGGGAAAAGAGGAGGAGGCCTGGGACCTTCAGCCCAGGCTGTGAATGGTGCTGAGACTTTTCCGTGTTTGATCTGGAATGAAGAGGCTCCTTCACACTGGACGTAGACCTTGAGCATGCAAGGACCCATTTTAGGAAAGCATCCTGTTCTCATCTGCTGCATTCCCACATGTGAAGTTGTTCCTCCTGCTGGGGAAGGGACTGAGCACCATCCCAGGGTGCTGGGAGAGGAGCTGCTACCCAGACATCGGATCTGAAACTGCTGTGAAGGAGGGAGAGCCTTGTGTCTCACAGGGCTGCCTGAGGGAGCAGAGGTGGTGAGGAGCTCAGAAGATCCTGCTGAAGGGAAGAGGAGCCACGAGCCAAGCCCTGGCTGCCCTTCAGGGCTGGGTACAACCAGCACCACTGGCTCTTGCTCGTCTGCTGGGTGCAGCCAAGCTGTGCTCTGCCTGGGCACCAGGCACACAGGCAGAGGTGAATCCCCACACTGTGCCAGCCACGGCACCACCTGCCCTGGGCTCTCCTCACCTCCCTCTTAAAAACAGACATGACCTGGACTGGACTGCCAGGGTGCTGCCCCTTGTCTGGGAGGGTCTGGCAGCAGAGCTGGAGCCCAGGTCCCCCCCAGGTCTGAGCTCTGTGCTGGGAGCAGCTGTCAGGAGCACCAGTCCCTTTGGAAGGGTGGTGGGAGGTGGGAGGCTGTGTTACACACCTGCTGGATTGAGCATCACTTCCTCAGCCTCTCAGGCTGATGTACCTGTTGGGGTACAAAGCTGCTGGATTTGTCTGGGTGAGGGAGTTACAGGGTTTGTAGGTGGTCAAGGGCTATTTACTGTTAAAACTTATAACCTTCTGTGTCCTTTAAAACCAAACCCAAAGTATCGTGTACATGTGGATGGGTGATTGTGGGAGTACCATGACGCCATTCCCCTGCTGTTGGCGTGTTGCTGTTTTAGGGTGGGGGTCTCTAGGGCTGTGGAGGCAGCAGATGCCCATCCCACGGTCTCATGTGATGTGTCCTCTGTGAGCAGTTGATCCTGGTCCAGCAGGGAGGCCCTGGTCCCAGCAAGAAGGAAGGTTTGCTGCACCCCTGGCCTTGGTAGGTCCTCCATCCCCACAAAGCATTGAGTGGGAATTCCCCCTCAGGGACTGTTAAGGACAGCTGTGACCAAGGCAGAAGCACCAAAGTTTCCTGTCCTTCCTCTGTTGCCTGACCAGATTCCTCACAGAGACATTTACTGCTGTGTCACTAACAAGCCAGAGAGGACAGTGGGCTGGGTCTGGCCCACACGTTCTTCTCTGGGGCCTTTCTGAGAGTTGTGACTGCAGCCAGCATTTCTAAGTCAATGAAGAACTCTTCAAGTTGAATGTTTTTCTGAGTGAAGGTCCCCAGGTCTCTGTTTCTGCCATTTCTGCCCCTGCAGCTGGTGTAGGCAGAGCTTAGCTGGAGCCATGGGAGAAGTCCCACTACGTGCTCCAGCCTCAGTTTTGGGGTGTCTCCTGTAGGGGCTGGTCTGTGGCTGACTCTGGGTGTGTGGGAGCAGTTGGAGCCTCTTGGGAAACTGTTTTCTCCTCCTCGTGGAAATGGGCAGCACCGGGACAGTGTGAGCCAAGGTCTCCATTTCCACGAGAGCAGCCAGCCTGGAGCTCAGCAGGAAGGGTGGCCATGCCTGCCCCAGCAAAGCACAGCCACATGCCCTCGCCTTCCTCCGCTGCTCTCCATGGCAATCACAAGCACTTTCAGAAGAGAAACACACCCTCCAATTGTTTAAGAGGGCTGGGGGCTTAGGGCAGCTGCTGCCACAGGGGCACATCTGGGCCTGTGGGTACAATGAGGTTGTTGGGAGAGGGAGCCAGGAGAGGGGTGTGACTTTGCCACTTGGGTTCCTCACTCCTCATCCTCCAGGAGAGCTCCTCGATGCAGAGAGGGAAGGACAGGAGGGCTACAGCTTGGCTCCCTTCTTCCAGCCTAGCCCTTCCTTCTGGGCCTGAGGCTCACTTGTACTTGGAGGGGGGAATGGGAATCATATTGTGGAGGGAGTGTGATTATGATAACAAAAGCTTTTTTGCACTTTCATTCATTTTGCACTCTTTCTTAATTTCTTTTTTTCTGTGTTTTTGATATTGGCGCCTCCTCTCTGTGTTTTCATAATGAAAATCCTGTTGTAGCCAGTGCAGCTATTCTGGAACTGTGTGTCCTGAATGTACAGTAATTTAAAGGCTCTATATATATAAACTTATAGTGGTACAAAGGTAAATTTATATATATAGATGATGGTGTGATGTGTTTTGTCAGTGTTTTAAAATAATAAACGAATGTGAGCAACAGAGGCCTGTGAAGCAGGAGTGGTCACTGCGCTGTGTCAGCGGTCGCTGCAGGGCTGGAGCAGTCACTGTGCTGCAGGACAGTGGCAGCAATCACTGTGCAGTGGGACAGCAGGAGCAGTCACTGCGTGGTGGGAGAGGTCAGTGCACTGGTCACGGTGTGGGGCAGTCGCTGCATGGCCAGTGTGGTCACTGTGCAGCAGGAGCGGTCAGTGCAGTGGTCAGTGCAGTGGTCAGTGCAGTGGTCAGTGCAGTGGTCAGTGCACAGCAGGAGCGGTCAGTGCAGTGGTCAGTGCAGTATTCAGTGCAGTGGTCAATGCAGTGGTCAGTGCGCAGCAGGAGCGGTCAGTGCAGTGGTCAGTGCAGTATTCAGTGCAGTGGTCAGTGCACAGCAGGAGCGGTCAGTGCAGCGGTCAGTCCGCAGCAGGCGCGGTCAGTGCAGTGGTCAGTGCAGTGGTCAGTGCAGCGGTCAGTGCACAGCAGGAGCGGTCAGTCCGCAGCAGACGCGGTCAGTGCAGCGGTCAGTCCGCAGCAGGAGCGGTCAGTGCAGCGGTCAGTCCGCAGCAGGCGCGGTCAGTGCAGCGGTCAGTGCAGTGGTCAGTGCAGTGGTCAGTGCAGTGGTCAGTGCAGCGGTCAGTCCGCAGCAGACGCGGTCAGTGCACAGGAGGAGCGGTCAGTGCAGTGGTCACTGCACAGCAGGAGCGGTCAGTCCGCAGCAGGAGCGGTCAGTGCAGCGGTCAGTGCACAGCAGGAGCGGTCAGTGCACAGCAGGAGCGGTCAGTGCACAGCAGGAGCGGTCAGTGCAGTGGTCAGTGCACAGCAGGAGCGGTCAGTCCGCAGCAGACGCGGTCAGTGCACAGCAGGAGCAGTCACTGCAGTGGTCAGTGCACAGCAGGAGCGGTCAGTGCAGTGGTCAGTGCAGCGGTCAGTGCAGCGGTCACCGCGCTGCCCAGGGCCGAAAACCCCACCCAGCCCTCTGCGTGCTCCTGGGTGTTCCACCGCCCGCCCGCCCCGCGGGATCCCCCGAGGCAGCCGGGACCGGGACCGGGACCGGGACCAGCACAGGAATCGGGACAGGGATGGCGACAGGGTCGGTTTATTCATGCCAGCGGGGGCTGCTGCCGGGGAACAGCCGCGGCGGGGCCGGCACGGCTCCCCCAGCCCCGGCAGCAGCGGCTCCTCAGCCCCGGCAGCAGCGGCTCCTCAGCCCCGGCAGCAGCGGCTCCCCCAGCCCCGGCAGCAGCGGCTCCCTCAGGCCCGGCAGCCCCGGCTCCCTCAGCCCCGGCAGCAGCGGCTCCCCCAGCCCCGGCAGCCCCGGCTCCCTCAGCCCCGGCAGCAGCGGCTCCTCAGCCCCGGCAGCAGCGGCTCCTCAGCCCCGGCTCCCCCAGCCCCGGCAGCAGCGGCTCCTCAGCCCCGGCAGCAGCGGCTCCTCAGCCCCGGCAGCAGCGGCTCCTCAGCCCCGGCAGCAGCGGCTCCCTCAGCCCCGGCTCCCCCAGCCCCGGCTCCCCCAGCCCCGGCAGCAGCGGCTCCCTCAGCCCCGGCTCCCTCAGCCCCGGCAGCAGCGGCTCCCTCAGGCCCGGCAGCCCCGGCTCCCTCAGCCCCGGCTCCCTCAGCCCCGGCTCCCCCAGCCCCGGCAGCCCCGGCTCCCCCAGCCCCGGCTCCTCAGCCCCGGCTCCCTCAGCCCCGGCAGCAGCGGCTCCCTCAGCCCCGGCTCCTCAGCCCCGGCAGCAGCGGCTCCTCAGCCCCGGCAGCCCCGGCTCCCCCAGCCCCGGCTCCTCAGCCCCGGCTCCTCAGCCCCGGCAGCAGCGGCTCCCCCAGTCCCGGCTCCCCCAGCCCCGGCAGCCCCGGCTCCGCGCCGCCTCCGCCGCGATCAGCCCCAGCAGCAGCAGCAGCCCGGCCGCCAGCGCCAGGCGCACGGCGTTGCACAGCGTGTAATCTGCAGGGACAGAAGGCACCGTCACTGGGGAGGAACCCACTGGGAGATCCTAGTCCTCCCACGGGGACAGCAGAGGATCCGAAGGGACACATAAAGGATCCAAAGGGCAAGGGGAGACCCCAGGGATGTCCTCGGCTAAAGAGACACAAACGGAAGTTCATGGGGAGAAAAGGGAGCCCCGAGGGGACCCCCAGCTGCACCTCCCACATCCCTGCCCCCTGGGACACCCCCTACTGACAGCCTCTCACCTGTGACCCCACCAAGTGGGGCCAAAGATGGGAAGGAGGGAAAAAACATGGACCTGGCCCTCAGATGCCACTGCCAGCAAGATAATGACACTAAGCCATGACAAAACATATGACTGTCCCTGGGGCTGGGAAGTGCAGGGAGAGGTGTCCTCTGACTCTTATCCGCACCTGGCAGCCCAGCAACCCTGGTCTCTAGGTGATCTATAGGGTCCCTGAGGAGCTGGCCAGGCTCAAACACAGGTGAAGGAAGCTGGAACCCTCTCCTTGGTCCCCTCATACAGCTGCTTTCCTGCCCTAAATCCTCTTTTCTAGTTCCCCCAGGATGTGACAGATTGCAGGGAGGAAGAGCGGAGCAGGATGTGGCTGGGCGGATGTCTCACCTCTCACCACCAAGTGCAGGGTGTTGCTGGCAGCAGACCATTCTCTCGAAGCATTGAAGGTGTAGCACTGGCAGCTGTAGCGGCCGCTGTCACCTTCCTGCACGAGGGAGAGGTTGTAGTCGCCTCGTTCCCTGGGGAGCAGCTGGGCTCGGATCTGGCCCTCCAGGTACAGGTAACAGCCGGTGCTGGGGTGTGTGGTGGTGCAGCGGAACGTCACGTCAGCTCCCGGAGTCACCTTGTGCCCAGGCAGGACTGAGAGGCTGGGTCTGGGCAGACGGAGCTCTGTGGGGACAGGAGAGGGAATGAGAAGGTGCACAGAGCTCTGATGTGCCAGGAGCACCAGGATCTCTCTGAAGCCACCAACTGGCTCAGGCAGAGGCGAAGATGGGCCCCAGCTCTCCAAGCCAGGGAAAAAGAAAAAAACCTTGTCCATCCTGGGAGTGGCCACAGGCATCCTGGTGTTCCCTGGGGCATCTGACCTCACAAGAGGGGAAACAGCACAGCCCTCACCTTCCACAAAGACTTCCAGTTCAGTGCTTCGAGCCACCGAAGTGCCTCCCTCCAGGTAATGGCAGTTGTAGCTACCTCTATCCTCATAGGTGGCACTAGAGATGGAGAACTCGGCCATGCTGCCACTCTGCTCCAGGGCAGGGACCTGGTCACCGTTCTTGTACATCACAAAGCTGCCATAGCTACACTGGCAAATGCAGCAGATGGTGATGGAGCCTCCAGGTGGGATCACCCCAGGTGGCTTCTGGAAGATGGAGATTGTGGGGGCACCTGCACAGGGAGAGAGATGCTGCCAGCCAGCCAGAGAGCCCCCAGCAGCTGCCCTGCTGTGAGCCTGGGGCTCCACCAGGCCCCGTCTCCACACAAGGGTGAATTTTGTTCCAGGGGGCTGTGGAAGAGCCCTGAGAGATGGGTGGGCCCAGAAATGTGTCCAAACTCCCTATCCACCTTCTCAAGATACTCACTTGGTGTAGCCTCACTCTGTGACACCAGCCAGGTGCCTGCAAGAGAAACAGCTGTGTAACATCTCTGTGGAGTGTCTGGACACCTCCTGTTGCCCTCTGGGAATCCCCACAGCCTCTGGCACTCACCTAAGGCCAGCACACGGGTCACAGGCAGCATCACGTCTCTCTTGGCTCCCTCTGGATTCAGCTCAAGCAGGGTTTCTTCAGAGCAAAGTGTTGGCCAGAGGTACGAAGCAGCTGTGCGGCTTCTTGCGGCTGCTGATACAACCTCGTCACAAGGCACCTTCTGTCCCACGGCTTGGGTTTCTGCAGCACGACTGCAGGGCTGGGATGGTTGAACTGGGACCGCAACGTCCCAGTCACATGCCCAGGGCTGGGCCCCTGTGACAGCTTAGGTCTTAGGGTCTGGCAGACCTTGGGGGAAAGGCTATCAGAACTTTTTGTTTCTCTTTCTTAGAGCTGGTCACTTGATGGTGAAATGGCTTCTTTTTTGCATTATGAAATAGGGGGTTGTTTTGCAACCACAAACCCACAAGTTTGGTGGCTCAGCAGAATGAAATAGGAGGAAAGGAACTTGACTTCCTTTTTGGCCTTTTCCTGGGCTACAGTGTCTGTCTTTGCAGGAGGGACAGTAACACTTCCTACGTGTAGGTCTGGGTGCACCCCACAGGGTTGGTCCCGCTCCTCATGCATCCAAACCCCCTCAGTCCCACACTGGAGCAACTGATGGTCCTTACTCCAGACAGCTGCTCCCTTCCACCCACACCTGGAGCCAGGTGCACCTCAGCTGCATCTTCTCTGGGTTGGCCAGTGATGTAGGCAGAGCTCCCTTTGACAATAATGAAGAGCTAATGAAACAGGGAACGGATGAATGCTGGCACTGGGGCTGTGTGGACACGTGCAGCTTGTCCAGGAGTCCTGCTCTGAAGGTGGCAGCGTTTGTAGCTCCCTGCCTTCCTGTGAGCTGCAGGCAGCACATCCTGATCCCTCTGCACCTGCAACCACTGCCACAACTGGTCCCCGGAAGAAAAACAGGGAATGCTCAGGGCTGGGTGAGTGGGTTTATATGTGTGTAAACCAGGGGGAAAAGGGCAAAGCTATACTTGTTCCAGACCCTTTTCTTTTTTCCCCCTTTAGCCCTTTTGGTCTCCTTTGGAGATTCCATAGGCAAGGAGAAGTTTTGGCAGCAGGGTGCCCCATGGCCTTTTTCTGTTCTGGGCACCTCCGCTGGCCCTCTCTCCTGTCTAACCGCCCTTTGCCTCCCCCAGCCTCAAGTGATTCTTGGCATTGATGACTTAGCATTTTAGCTTTTATATTTTTCATATATTTGTAATCCTGAAATTCTTTTGTGTATAACTCCTAAACTCCATATTCAGTGTGAGCTGCTGCTTTCCCATTTTGGGCAGACACAACAATTCCTCTCCAGGCCTGGCAATCAAGGACACCTCACTACCTCAGGCCCCAAGAAATGTAAACAAAAGTGAGTTGGGGGGAGCAAACTGGGGGTAAATTACTAATTACTTCGTTAGCTGAAGCTGTAATTGGAAGATTAGCCCCCAATAAGCAAATGGATCAAACTTATGAGAGTTATAAAAGTATGAAAACCTATGAACCAAAATCCATTTTGGGTGTAGCCCCTGGGGGGCTTTGTCTGCCCAAAATGTACCTGAAGGCCCTTCAATAAATATAATTGCTTAATATTCCCTTAGTTTTGTCTGGCTTATGGTTTTAGGTAGCCCCAAAAAGGCATCAGCATCTCCTTGGAGAGCCTCCTTTCAACCCCACAGCCCCCAGTGGCCACACCAAACTGCTCTGGGCTCACCAGTGCCCAGTGGAGAACAAGCCCTGGCCATTCTGTGGCTCTGGCCTGGCTCACACTGTCCAGGATGATGTTGGTGGCATTGCTGTGGGCCCATCCATGGGCACACTAGAATCCTTGCTCCCCTCTCCAGGCCTTTTCTCACATCCCTCAGCCTGAGACTGACCTCTGGGTGCACATCCAGAGCATGGGACCATGGAAAGAGTTTTCCCCCCTCCATCACCGCTGTTAGGAGTTGCCTGATCCAGCAGCCTGAGAAAGAGGAGGCTGCCACAGCTCCAAGGCCCCAGGTCCAAGCATTCATGGAGTCCCCAGAGGACAGGTGGAGTCACACACAGACACAGCCAGTCCCACAGGTCTGGACAGACACAAGGACCTCCCACAAACAGCACCAACAGGATGCGCCCCTTACTGTATCCCTGCAAGCACATTTGAGCTTAAATACCAAAAGCTTTAATGAACAATGTACCCCAGTGCCCCACCACCATAAATGGTTCTACAGGCAATAGGGAAAGATGTGGCTGGAGACAATTCCTCATATCCACTTAAGCAGCTCCAAAGAACTCCTCTGTGATCTGGGCTTCACCCCCAGCTACAGCTACACCTCTCTCTACTGCCCAAAGGCGGCTCCTCAGCAACTGCATTGCCTACAAGTGAAATGTCTCCCTCTGACAGGAGTCAATATCCCCAGCATTCCTGATCCCAGCCAGTTTAGCCCTTTCTACCATTGGACAGTCTCACCTCAGAATCACAGAATATGCTGACTTAGAAGGGAGCCATCAGAATCATCGAGGCAAACTTTTGGCTACAGTGCAAATATGTGAATCAGTAGGTTCTTCTATTTTCAGCCCCAAAGGAAACCATTGTCACATAATATTTTCCTTTCAGTCATCTACCTTCCCCAGTTTAATTCTGTAGCCTCAAGTCACTGGCTAGAGCAGAAGTATGTCCATACTAGAAACAAAATAGGGAAGAATAAAGAAATACAAGCTGTTTCCAAACCTCATAAGAAGATATCACAAGAAACTACCCCTGCTGCAAAATCTAGCAACTGCTGCAGTGCTCCCAGTCAGCAAAGCAGACTCCAGCAATGATCTTCCACCTGCTCATTGGTGGGACCACCACGTTCAAACCACCTGAGCCACGTGTCCTGATAGCCCTGCAGGCCCTGGCTGGCACTTCCCACCTGGATTCTCCCTGGCTGTCAGTGGAGGTCTTAATTACAAACTCTAAAGACATGCGGAAGCATCTTCAGACAAGCTAAGCATCTACCTGCCTGTTCACAGCCCACCAGGTGAGTGTGCAGCCATGTCTCCCAGTGCCAAGAACCAGTCTGCAGCAGACTTCCCAGGAAAGTGGCTTTAGAAATGTCAGGGCAGACTTCACAGCATTCTACACCTGCCTCTGCTGAAGAGAAGCAGCAAACTCAGGCTCCCAAGGCAAGCAGCATCAACCCACAGTTCACTGAAGTACACCCAAAATGTGACATGGTGCAACGTTGACTACAATTTGTGCCACAGATTTTAACCATTAAGCTAAGGCACAAATGATTTTTTACCTGTCACACAAATTTTGGAACTGTGATAAAAAAAAGTCAAAAACTTGGAAAATAATACCGTCCAAGAAGACAAATGAGAAGACATTCCAAAGATTACATTTTAGAATTATTTTATGTAAATGATATTTTTATCTTTTTTTTTTTTGGTTACACTTTAAACTATGCATTAATTCAAATACTGTGATAAATGCGTCATCTTGAATTATAAAATAGTAAAATATTCTTGCTGAAAATATCAACAGGAAAATGTTTTTTCCATCTGAGTTGTTTCAGATTAGTTCAGAATAATAAGAACCGATTCTTTCTTACAGGCAGGCTTTATTGATTTCTCAGTGAACCTGCATTTCCAAAAGAGAAAAAAAACAATTATAATGTCTGATTTGTTTTGGGTTCTACTTCCTTTTCTTGTGATTTGCCTATTTTTGCCTTTCATTTTCAGTTTCAATTTTACAAAATTTCCCTTAACTCTGAGAGCCAAGATGCTGGAGAATAACTGTCTAATTAGATCCCTCCCTGTCCCTCATCTCTGAACACCGGTGTTTCTCCTGGCCATGCTACATCCGCAGAGAACTACAAGGAAGACTTTGCTCCAGACATGCAAAACTGTTCCAAACAGCCCAGGAGGTGCCTCAGCTTGCTCTGTCCACCTCTCAGCCCAGCACATGAGAAAAAGCAGGGAAGAGAAGGGTCAATTTTATTGCACCGATTGAGGGAACGACTCGTTTTACTTACCTTCTGTCATGGTATAATCCCAGACAGCAATTAAGCCTCACACACGACCCCTGGTGGGATGGTGGAGAGAATCAAATGGCCAAAGTGACAAAAAAAAAAAACCCTTGCCATTTGAGATACAGTTGTTTAATAAGGGAAGGGAAAGCTGCAGCAGCTCTGTGGCCACAGAGAGCAGGCACAGACTTTCCCAGGGACGGCTGTGAGAGAAGGAGAGAAAAGAATGATCAAAACAATCCTTATCTCCCTTGCTGCTGCTGGGTGTTTGTGCCCATGTGGAATGTGTTCTGGAGATTGTTTACCCAAGGTGATTGCTTGATTGGATTCTGGTGATGGTGTTTGGATTCATTGATCAATTGGATCCACAGCTGTGTCAGGACTCTCAAGAGAGAGAGTCACAGGTTTTCAAGTTAGTAGTGAGTGAGAGCTCTTGCTAATGGAATATAGTGTCATAGAAGTAGAATAGAATAGACGATAAGATGATAGAATAATAAAGCGATTGATCAGCCTTCTGAATCATGGAGTCAGTGCTAACTATTACCCAGCTGGGGGCCTGTGGCAACAATTCCCCACCTCCCACTGGCAGGTTCAGCCATCCCCGGGACAGCCTGGCTCCATCGCAGTAACAGTGACTTGGGAAGACAAATGCCATCACCCAAACATTCCCTTCTCTCTTCCCCGGCCTTCCCTGTGAGCACAGTGCCATCCTCTGGCACAGTAGCAGCAGCAGCTGTGTGTCCCACTGTCCCCCAGCTGGCCAGAGCTCCTGGCAGCACTGCAGGGCTCATCCCCCTCCCTGCAGAGGGGAAACATGGAGCAGAGGCCCATGGCTATCTGCAGTCCCACCACAGCTCTGAGGGTCACAGGGATGAGGATCTTGGATGAATGGGAATCTGCCTGGAGAGGGGTCAAAGCGGTGGAGCACTGACCTGAGCACCATCGCACTCAGCAGAAAGGTGAAAGAAGGAAGAAGTGAGGAGGCTTCCCTGCAGAGGTGCCTCACTGCATCCCCTGAAATTTGTCCTACATTTGCCCCAAGTCGCTGTGTCCTACAGGCTCCTTCTTCATACGTTCCAAGTGGTCTCATGTCTTTGTGGTCTTTTTGCCTTCACTCTGCAGTCCACATAGCCTCAATGTGGTGTCCTTGTGAAGTCATGTGGTCCCCACATGGTCTGTAACAGTCCATGGGGCTGATATATGTCTTATGTAATCTCTACAGTGCAAGAGATCTGCATATGGTCCCATGAGCCCTTTGACAGAGCCCTTTGGCCCAGGACAGTTCAGGTGTTTCTGCAGGCCAGTCTGAGGCAGGAGACCAGGCCCTGATGGCCCTGGGCCCACAGCAGTGTCCCCACATATTCACATACTACATCCCTGTAGCCATATCCCCTCGTATTCCCATACTACATCCCTGTAGGTGTATCCCTACACATTTCCATATCCCTGTAGCCCTATCCCCACATGTGGGAAACAGATTTGTAGAGAGTTCTCAAGGCCTGATGGAAGGCTCACACAGCCTCATCCATATGCAAACTTTGAGATAAGAAATGCTGACTTAGAAATGCCATGGAATAGATCAGGTATTGTTGAGAGAGAAATGGATCTAGGGAAAAGTTTCAAAAGATGGCCTTGCAAATAAGACTGGGTACTTTAGAGAAATAGAACTATGAAAGATGCAGGATCCACGAGGAAATCCACAAGGAGTCGTTTTAGATGCTTGGCTTTAAAGCATCTATAGCATGGTGTGGCTAAAGCTGATAGGCCAAGAAACACTTGTAGTGTATTGTAATTAGGAAATAGTTGGCTTCTGATTGTGGTGGTGTGAATTATAGCATCTGTATTGTCTCATCCTTCTCATGAGAGTGAAAATAGAATAAAAGTTTTTAAAACACCTCTCAGTTACCCCATCTCTAAATCTAAACAAATATTATCCAATATCCATGTATTCCCATACCCCATCCAGGTATCCACATTCCCATATCCCCGCTTTATATAGGCAAGTTCCTGCCCCGGTCCTCGGTCCTCCCTCATGTCTCCTTGCTCCTCGCCGCTATTTTTGGGGAAAAGAAAAAAAAAAAAAAAAAAGAAAAAAAAAAAAAAAAAAAGAAAAAAAGCCAAACAAAAAAAAAAAAACCAAAAAAACAAAAAAACAAAAAAAACCAAACAAACAAAAAAAACCCAACAAAACAAAACAAAAAACCCCAAAAAAAACCCCCCAAAAAAAAAAACCAAAAAAAAAACAACAAAAAAAAACCAACCAGCACATTTCCCCGAATGAGCGTGTGCAACGGGGAATCGAAACTCTTGGTCAGGGAGGCGGGACCAGGAGCAGCGGGCGGAGCAGGGCCGGAGCGGAGCTCCGAGCGCCAGCGGCGGCAGCGGCACGGGGCAGCAGCAGCTGCTCCAGCTGCTCCAGGAGTGGGCAGGGGTCCCCCGCACTGCCCACCATGGCCCTCAAGCAGCTGAAGGCGTGAGTGGGTCTGGGGGCACCTCTGGCTGTTTGTGGGGGGAGACAGGGCATGGCTGGAGTGTTCTGGGGGTCACAGGGGCCGTGGGTGGGGCAGGGGGCTCAAGGGGTGCTGGGGACAACTGAAGGGTGACTGAGGGAGGTGGGGACTGCAGCGGTCAGGGCTCACAGGGAGGGTTTTTCACTGGGGGCTGCTGGATGTCTTGGTTTTGACTGGGAGAGAGATAATTTTCTCCCCAGAAGCTGCTCCAGTGCTGTGTTGGGGATTCAAAGTGAGAACAACGTTTGTAACACGCTGAGGCCCTGTTGAGCTGACTCCAAGTCAAGACTTTTCAGTGTCCCGTGCTCTGCCAGCAAGGGGAGCACGGCCAGGAGACCCAACTCAAACCGGCCAGAGGGATATTCTGGACCACAGAACCTCCTGCCCAGTCCAGAAACTGGGAGGGGGTTGGCCAGGAGCCACCGATTGCTACTGGGGAACAGGCTAGGCATTGGTCAGTGGGTGATGAGCGACTTCCGAGCACTGCTGGTTTCTCTCAGGTTTTATTCTGTTCTCTCTCCTTCCCATTACTATTTATAGTAGTAGCAGCAGTAATGTCAGTATATTTAGTCTTGTTTCAGTTATTTAACTATTCTTTACCATTTCTGGATTCTCTCCCCCATCTCTCCAGAGCAGCATGCAGCTGTGTGGGACTGAGTTACTGGCTGGGGTTCAGCCACGACAGTCCTTCTTGGTTCTCAACTGGGGCACAAAGAGTTGAGATAACAACAGATCTGAGCAGAGTGTGTTAAAACAAAGTTGTTGTGAGCATCTCTTGTATTTATTTAACAGCTGTGGGTCACAGTTTGCTCTCGGAGTTCCTGCCCGTGCACTCACAGGTGCATTTTATAAAAACCCTTCCTGGTGCGTGCAACCCCGTGGGAATGTTCATCCTCCCTTGGCTCTGGGCTTAGGTTATCATTGTGTTGTGGTTGGTAACACGGAGCTGTGCTACGAGAGAACGGCTGGAGCTGAATCGAAGCTGCCGGCTGTGCTCAGCATTGCCGTCCCCGCTGGGCTTCGGGAGCCATCCAGTGGGAACTGTCACTAATTACACCTTAGGCTTTTCTCCGGCGAGGGCCAGGCTATGAGACAAGTCTTCCAGCATAGTCTTCCCCTTCCCTTTCCCCTTCCCTTTCCCCTTCCCTTCACGGTACTCTGTGGTTACCCAAACCCTCAGGACAGTTTAACCCCTGCCCGCAGCTCACACCATAAAGCCACTTGCTGTTCC